CATTTGCTAACAATTAGCACAACGGGTATACAGCTGTGTTTTCTTCATTTGGAAATGCGGAAATATTAGAATTTATGTATTATATTTAATCATAAGCTTTTTTCTGAGTTTTGTCAAAATCAGGATTAGAAGAAACATATACAAGGTTAGTTAGAAGTTGTTTCATTTTTTAAAATCTGAAACATTTAAACGACATGTCAAAATTAGGTTTATGCTCACTTTCCATATTTTTCCTTACCTTCTTAACTAACAGGTTTTGCAGTGCTCGAACTGCCAATGACTGGTAATGAATACAATATTTTTACATGAGGTTCCTTCACGGCTTTAAATTTTGCTTTGGATTGTTCAAATCTCTCCTTTGCTATTACCTGCGTCACATATTTCCTAAACATTTTCTCTTTTATATTTTGTTTTTGTAACATATGTTGCCTGGGGAAGAGAAATGGAAAATAATTCATAATTTTCACTTGTTCTAACTCAGATATTGAAAACTCTCCCTTCTATTGTTGTCTCTACTGGGCTTAGAGTGGTGTAGTGGCCTAGAGGTGAAGACACTCACCTCCCACTCAGAAGGTTGAGAGAGTTCAATTCTAGCCAGTAGCAGATGTTTCTCTATTAGAGTGCAAAGAATAAATATCTGCTGCAAACTCTGCGTAGGTATCAGGAAGGGCATCTGGCCAGTAAACACTCAGCTCCATCCAGTCACCCCGATAAAAGGGATTACAAACTCGTAAAAAGAAAAAAAAAAACTAGCCTTGTTATGGTCTTGTTTTACTTTCCATTTTAATAAATCAATTATGTCACTGTTTTAATGACATAAATGGAAGCCGCAAGACCACAAATGTATTTTATAAATTACCATGCTGGTTATAGAACAGTTCTAAAATATATGTAACTATAAACAAGCAAAGATTATTCATCGGGATACTAATAAAATATTAAATATATTGTGATATTCAATATCTCCAGTCAGAAACAATGGATACCATACATTGATATATTATTAAAATTATCTAATATATATAATTATAGATGTATAATGAATGGAGAATGTAATATTAACTACTGTTTTCTAAGAATTCTTTAGAAATGCAATTTTTCCTATTTAGATTCTTGTTCAAATTTAGGATACTTTATTGTTAACAGTGATTTGATTTATTATATCCCCTTCTCCTTTTCCAGGCATTGGGATAGGGCAATGCCATGGTGGGATGAGAATGTGGATTAATTAAACAAGTGCAGCTATACACCAGATTTTTTTGGATTTTATTACTGTTGGTTTTCTAGTGTTTTTCCATGATTTTATTAGTTGTATATTACCCATAGTTGTTTTGAGATGGGAGGCTATAAAATGTGACAAATAAATAAATATTATTAGATTTATACATTGCCTTTATTTTATACAACTCTAGGCAGTGTTAAATATATTTAATATTTTACAATGTATGGTTGGGTTATTTTTGGTAGTATTTTATGTATTGTTTATACTTGTATTTGAAGTATTCAGAATGCTATTAAAGAAACAATAAACAAATAATCAGGGAATATATAATGCTATAACATTTTACATATGGGATATATTATATTCCATCCAAAAGGAAGCTGTTTATGGCTTAATGTGTGAATCCAGCCACAATGTTCCATGTTGGAAAACTACCTGTTTATAGGCTGTGATTATACATAATCCTCAACTTACAACCACAATTGGGACTGATAATTCTGTTGTTAAACAAAGCAGTCATTCAGTGAGTTATTTTTGCCATCATTGTTAAACAAATCCCCATGGCTGTTAAGTGTTAACAACTGTTAGGCAAATCTGTTTCCCCCATTAACTTAGCTTGTTGGAAGCCTGGTGGGAAGGTCACAAATGCAACCACTTGATGCCAGGAAGCTGTAACCATTGTAAATACATGCTAGTTGCCAAGCACTCAAATTTGGATTACATGACCAGAAGGATGCTACAACAGTGTTAGGATGTAAGTCGCTTTTTTCAGTGCCATTATAACTTTGAATGGTTTCTAAATCGATGGTTATAAGTTGAGGACTATCTGTATATGCACACACATGCATGGGTTGATCTGTGAGGGGAGAGATGTCAGATGTTGATATGACCATGAAATCAAAGTCTTAACACTTTTTTTACACGCATCATGACTTGCCCTCATGATTTTCTGTCCCGCTAGCCAAAGATGACTTTGGGTTAACCAAAAATAAATAAATAAAATTCTTTGCTCTTCAAAAGGAAGCTGTTCTGGCTTTCATTCTTTCCCTTAATTTTTCCATAATATCCCCTCTTTCTATATGAGCCACAGTCCCCTCTATTCAAACAGGTCAGCAGGAAGCATTTTCAAAGACTTCTGCAGATTAGTCAAGAAGGGAGATGCTAATCTGAATCCAAACCATATTCTGAGTGAGGAAATATATCAGTCAAAATTGAAAATTAATGTCTCGTTCCTCTCATTCCAATTGCTTTCTCTTTTTTTTAAAAAAAAATCCTATGTAATTAACTATGTAAAACTAATAATTTTCAGTTAATTAAATTCACTTTTACAGTCTTTGTTAGATTTTTATGCATCAAGTGTTTCATTAACTTCTTTTTGTAAAAGTAACAATAAATGTTGGCAAGAATAGACATTAATTTAATTAATTTCCTACAAAACACAACTAACAAATAAAGACTTTTAACTAACATACATTTTTTCTGCTGTATCAAATAAGCCAATGGAGAGGATAATAGAGGGAAAAAAAGAATGACAGTTCATATTACATTTTAGCAAAAAATTATTCACTGACTTAATCAAGCAGAAGAAAATCTGCTCAAAAACAACAGAGTTGCTCACATGTTTCTAATGTCATAATTTTAAAACAGTGAGATTGTTCAGGTGTAAATGGGCTTAATTTCATATTCAAAATCCGTTTGTTATTGGGGTATTTTTATAAACTGAAATTTAACTAATTCTGTGGCCTGTGTTTCAATTTGTGGTTGGGTAAGGGAAATCCTTTGACACCTCCTTTGATAAACAAGGAATTAAGAGAAAATATTTTTTAAAAATTGAAATATCACTCATAAAAATGAGCTATTCCCTTTATTCTTGTTTCTTGGTTTTATATGTTATTTATTTTTTGTTTACTGATTTTTTATTTACAGTTGCCCCAGATATTTTTGGCTAAAATATAGATTTACAAAACTCTAACTCAGTTATACTATGGACTTGTCTTATTTTTCATAAATAATGTATTTTATACCATTTTTAAAATAAATACACCAGTCATAAAAAGAAGACAACTCATTCATTCCACCACACCCCACCCCACCCCCAAACATACACAAAGACAATGAAAAAAACCAGCTAAATTACAGATTTCAATAGCAGCTTAAATTTTAATATTTTACTAATCCCGCTTAAGGATCTAATTTTTAAATAAATCATTTTAAATAAAATAAGAATGGTTTGCAGTCCTCCACAAATATTTCATTCTATAAGGATAATCCACTGTCTTACCTAGCTTTTGAAGCAAGCATAATTAGAGCTTCCTGATAAAATTAGCATCAAGCAATATTTTGCATCAGTAACTTTATTTTCATAAGAAAGTATATCGAACCCATGAAATATACCAATAAGGCACAATGCTGGGTGAATAGGTAATTCCTATATTAAACATTATTGTTTAACTAACTTAATTACTTCATTACTAATTAGTCACCTGTATTACCAAAATAATACAATAAGCATTTAAAAGGAAAATGGAATTACAATTAAAAACAGAACACTCTCCTCAGTCTCCAAGTCCAAAAGCATGTTAAGTTGAAATATGGGCTTTTGCACACCTTGCCTTTGTTTTCCTACATACAACTAAAGATTGTTTATTGAATTGAATAGGAAACAATAACATGAAAATACTATTGCTAAGGATTACTCTTTCTGTCCTAAGATATTACTGGGAGCAGTTTGTCTAGGAGGATAAACATTTCTCAAAGAATATTTTAAGTATAAGCTCTATGGATATCTTTGGGCCTTTCCCAAAGTCGCAGTGCTAATTACTCGCCCTTGTTATTTCTATCAGCCCTCTCCAACCTGCCTTTGTAGTCAATCACTGTCAATCACCTAACTTTTCTCCATCAAAAAGCCTAGCAGATTTCACACATTTTGGACTCCTTATGGTAGTGTCAGAATAACAGGGACACTCTATTTTAAGATTGGTACAACTACTCATAACTTAAAATTGGTAGAGCTACTCATAACTTAAGCCCATTTCACTTGTAAGCTAAGACCTAGATGATAGCAACATCAGTGGGAAGTGGTAGAAAAACAAATGTTTCCAGGTTATGTTTTTTGCTATCCATGCCAATAAAAGAAAATTGGGGGGACGGGGACGACAAAACATGCTTTGGGACACAAACTTTGGCCTTTAGCTACATGCATGAGATGTCCAAATGCATATGTAAAAATGTAGAGAGCTTTGTTGTGACATCTTGAATACATTTGCTGCAGGTGCAGGGCCACTTTTAGGTGAAAGTAGGGACATTTAATTTCTTTTTATGGTTTCAGAGAGAAAGCTGTTCACCTATATGAAAAAATAAATAAAGCTAATAGCAATAATATGAATTACAAAAACATTTCTTATACATTATTTCCATTTATTATATTTATCATTATTTCCCAAAAGCTCAATGAAACAGGAAATGTTTTGAATTCACAGGATCAGTTCCTGGCCTGTGAATCTTTCCCTTTCCCTCCTCTCCTTGCCTTTTCTTTCTTTCCTTCATCCTATTTTATTCTTTAGAACTATAAGATTGTTTCTTAGGTATTATTTTGTAGAAGCAGAATGTTTCAGGTAGATATTTAAATACACATGTATTCTATTTTCATATACTGTATATAATTCATATTTATTTGAATCATTCTTAAATATACTTCTTAGATATCTCTCTCTCTCTTTCTCTCTCTCAAACTACATTACATAGTTTACATTTATAAGCTTATTCAAACAGACATTACCTTTCCTCCTGAAAATGTTCATACATCTCTTTTCGCTCTTTTTGTTCTTTTCTCATTTCTTTATGAACTTTTTTTCTTTCATTTTGGAGTTCCAAGTTTCTTCTCCACCCATCAAGTTTTAATAAACCTCTAGTCAAAGAAGTATGTTGAGTGCTAAAGCGCTGAATGAATGAGTTTTCTATTAGCTTTCCTTCCTTCTTTTCTAAAAAAGTATTATATTTTTTTCTCATCCTAACAATGAGCTTGGATTTTCCCTCTTTGGACTTTTTAACATGATCTGTATCCATCATCTTTTTCTTTTCATAATTCCTCTGAATATTGTCTATTTTTTCTTCTCGTAAATGATGTAAATATTCTTTAGCTTCGCTGTTAGCAATTAACACCCGCATCACATCTCGTTCCTTCTTAGCTTGCAGATCCAACTTACGACTTTGCCAATAAGCTTGTTCAATGGCATATAAAGGCTGAAGTCTTACATTTCCATATGCTTTAGCAAAGATTCTTTTTTCAAGGCTGCCAGGTTCATATATTGGCAAAGTTGGTGGTACAGGATGTGTGATGTTACGCATATCATGAGCAGTATCAAAAAATTCTCTCTCTTTCTCTTTGTACATTTTCCGATGTTCATTCGGTGAATAAAAAGGCATTTTAGATCCTGAAAGTTTAAATGTAGACTTTCTTGCCATCTTCATGACAGTTTTCTCTCTCTGTGTGAAATCTAACATGAAACAATTCAAGGGTTATATAAAATTATATTAAAGAGTGACAAATTGACATTAAAAGTGCCAATATATTTTTTATTACCTTGATTACAACTACATCCAATTGGAAGAATAATGTTATTCTTCCAATTGATTTTAGTGTTGTATGAATGAGACAGGAAAGAATTACATTACTGGTGAAATGCAGTCCTGAAATTTAAAGCTGCCTGTATAACCCAATGACAAAACTCAAGATTGTTTGTTTGTTTGTATGCTCAATTCATGTAATGAAAATCTGGACCTGTTAAAGGGCTTGTGAGAAACTCCCACTGAAATCAATGGAATAAATTAATCAAACATATATTTCATTGTTTAAACTTGGGTGTAATGCAACCATCTGTAATCATTTTTAAAGGTGTTTGACTCTAATTTATTTTCTTAGCTTCTAATTGATTGAAAAGCTTTATGCTAATTGCATCTTTGTTCCTGAGCATCAACACTCATTCAGAAATTGCAGTGGCTATATTTCAAAAGTGAGAAACATTTATATTAAAAATGTGAACAAGAAAGGACATTTTATCAGGTTTGGTAGATGTATAAAAATTCTGGATTCAAATATCTACACTGATTCATAGGATTTTAAAGATTATTGCACATTTGAAACCATAATTTGTTCTTTTGGAATTGATGGACAAACAGTTGGAAAAACATTATGGAACTGTACTTTTTTACATGGTAATTGCAGCAGTATTTATTGTATACCGAAAATGGAAAGATTCAGCACTGTCCAGAAAAGAGGAATGGTTGCTGAAGAAAATGGAACTTCCTGAAAAGGCTAAATTGACTATTTTGATCAGAGAAATGATAGTTATGCTTATTGCTAACTGAAAATCCCTGAGAGATTTTTGCATGAAAAAATAAAAATGAATTTATGCTTTATGGTTTTGATGATTAGACAGAACAGATTATAGAAAGAAGTGAGTTACCTTGTAACCACAAAGTAAAAAGTAAATTTAAATTGAATTAATAATTGCTGGAAATAAGATTGGAAGCTATTTCTTCGTATCTTTTCTCTTTTGGGTTCCCCTTTCTTGCATGCAAACACACACACATATGTATACATATGTAAAGAAATATTTAATCTTAAAAGCACCCACTGCATGTCACCTGCATAATTTTGTCCAGAATTTAAGAATGTATTTCTCTTCTACATGTACACTGAAAACTGTATCCTTGAATCCTCAAGTTTATTTGCCTAATTCCATACTTTCATCTCCTACCATCCACTAGCTCAGTATGTCAAACTCGTGGCCCGCAGGCTGGATGCGTCACACACTGGCCACGCCCACCACCAGTTTACTAGAGGGGGGGAGTTGTGATACATCATGTGACAACAATGTGACACCATGAGTTTGAAACCCTTGTACTAGATCAACAGTGCTCCCAAGTTCAATGGTGTTGTGACATAATTTCCTCTTTCCCGATTAGCAATTTCGGCAAATTACTTTACATATAAATGTGAGCAAAGAAAAATGTTTGTTTTGCTCGTCTCTAATCCTAGCACTTTTTACATTCTTACCAGCAATAATCAAAACAAATCGAATGTTACCTTTGGGTTAAAATTTTGTATATAATTTTATTAAAACTTTTAAGAAGTTTAAAGTTAAAAAAGAAGTTGAGAGAAAAAAATGACAAGGAAAAAATCAAAGAAAAAACAAAAAAGAAAAGTCAAGGAAAAATAGAAAAGAAAATATAGCTTTTATTTTCTTATTTAAAAAATTTAATAAAATTATATTAAAAAGACTGCGTAAAAATAAAATATGTACTTGTGACTTAAAATTGTAATGATTAGACAGGATAGATTATAAAAAGAAAAGCAGTATAATACTTCAAGGTCACATGAAGTATTAATACCCCTTTATAATGCCTTGGTAAGACCACACTTGGAATACTGGATCCAGTTTTGGTCGCCATGATATAAAAAAGATGTTGAGACTCTAGAAAGAGTGTAGAGAAGAGCAACAAAGATGATTAGGGGACTGAAGGCTAAAACATATGAAAAACTGTTGCAGGAATTGGGAAGGTGTAGTTTAATGAAAAGAAGGACTAAGCATGACATGATAGCAGTGTTCCAATATCTAAGGGGTTGCCATAAAAAGGGTCAAGCTATTCTCCAAAGCACCTGAGGGTACGACAAGAAGCAATGGGTGGAAACTAATCAAGGAGAGGAGGAGCCTAGAACTAAAGAGAAATTTCTTGACAGTTAGAACAATTAATTAGTGGAATGTCTTTCCTCCAGAATTCGTGAATGCTCCAACACTGGAAGTTTTTAAGAAGAGATTGGACAACCTTTTGTCTGAAATGGTGTAGTTTCCTGCCTCAGCAGGGGGTTGGAACTTCCAACTCTGTTATTCTGTGATTCTATGTAACTTTAGAGAGAGAAGTCGAAGTACATTTATACTTATAATTACTGTGTAGACTAAGAGAAGTGACTTCCTTATAGTCTGGGGCAAAATATTGAAGGGACTCAAACAATAGTATCAAAATAAGTAGTTGTTCTTTGCATTTAGCTTCTCTTCTTTTAACTTCTCTTTGATGGGTATTCTTTTTTCTAAACACATACTTATATTTTTTTTTTACAAAAATATGCTGCAATTATTCAAAGGAGCTCAAAGGTGAATGACCTTGGGTCAGCACTCCATTGTCCTGGCCTAGAGGTGAAAGAGCAATAGATGTTATTGTGCCCAAGCCTGTCCTGATTCATCAAATGTATTTTAAATTTCAGACAGCTTCTAATGGCTTTCTATTCTATGCATGCATTGAGGATTTTTTTTCCCATTATTTTTACCAAGTTCTCATACTCTACTTCAGGATGTCGAACTCAAGTTGTCACACAGCGTCACGTGACATATCATGACTTTTTCCCTTCGCTAAACCGGTCATGGCTGTGGCCAGTGCATGACACATCCAGCCGGCGGGTCGCAAGTTTGACAATCCTGCTCTACTTGCTTTACTTTTAATTTATACATAGGTCCATAGATAAATAGAAAAATAAGTAGAATTTGGAGAGACAAAGAAAACAGCAATTAATTTCTGGTCCCCTCTAATAAGTACGTTTTCCCCTTAATGTTAATTAACAACTATATGCAAGACACAGTACAAAAAAACCACATGGAATTACAAACTAATTAAGACATGCTGGAAAAAAAATGAAAGAAAAATAAAACAGGAATGTTGTGCAATGGCATCAACATGGGTAAGGAAAAGGTGCCTGGCAGCAGATGGTGCCAAATATAACCTGGGAAGCTGTCCCATTTGGTGGCAAGCCAAGGTTTTTTTTTTACATCATTGCTGCGAAAACAAACCAGAAACTGAATATATAAATAACTGCATTTGATTTCTTCTATGTAAAAAGTAATTTAACATTTTGTTTGTTTGTCCTATGGTAAGAAGGTATTTTAAACAATAGAAGAAGCCCCAAGATGCTTTTTCATTGACAAATAGAAGAAGCATTTGTTCTATCAAATGTACATCTCAAGAGAATTTAAAGATAAATATATAAGGGGGAATATAAAACTTTTTATGCAAGATACCATATTTTTGGAGTATAAGATGTACCTTTTTTCCTCAAAAAAGTGGCTGAAAATCTGGGTGCGTCTTATAGACTGAATACATAATTTTTTGCCTCCCAAAGCCCCACCCCTTCACCAAAATGGGTGTGCATAGCCTTATGGAGGCTTTCGGAAAGCTCCTGGGAGCTGGGGATGGCAGAAATGAGCAAAAAATGGGCCATTTTTTGCCCCGTCCCCCAGCAGCACTCTATAAGCCTCCATAGGGCTATGCATGCATTTTTATTTTTACAAAAAACGGGCCCGTTTTTTGCTCTCTTTGCCCCTCTCTCCCCCCCCCCCCGGAGCACTCTACAAGCCCGCTCAAGGCTATTCATGCCTATTTTTGCAAAAAAGGTGGGGCCCGTTTTTGTGGAACGTTTTTGGGAGGTTTGCAAAGTGGAAAAACCTTTTTTTCCCTTTTGGAAAGCTCTTTTACTGATTGATGAGAATTACATTGATCAAGTGCTCTGCCAGCAGAAACACCTACCTATCTACTGTATTTCTCTCTATCTCTATTTCTCTCTCTTTATCCCTCTACCTACCTACACACACACACTCTCTCTCCCTACCTACCTACTGTATTTCTCTCTCTCTCTATTTTTCTCTCTCTTCCCCTTTATTACCTACCTACCTGTTGTGGCCCACAGGATCTGGTTGAGCTGCTGATGGACTCGGATAGCGAGGAACAATATGAGTCTGCCCTGGATGATGTGGAGGACCCTGAGCAGGGTTCATACTCAGAGCAGGGACCAGAGAGGCTGGTTGGCCACCAGGAGGCACCTAAGGCATGGAGCAGTGGGGAGGATCAAAGGCAATTTGTCCCTGATGCTAGATTGAGAAGGGCTAAGAAACAGAAGCAGCAACTCCGTAGGCAGACTCACAGAAGATGATTAAGCACAGGTGGTCGTTGAGTGGCCCCTCCCAAGAGAGTTTATAGGTGAGG